AGTACTTAATTTAAAATCTACATACAATTTTCTGTTTACTGCTGTAGGATTAGGTGTGATATGAATTTATTGTATTTTTTACTTAGATTTGTTATAGAACTTTATCTAACAAAAGGTTTCAACATTTAAAACAATTTTTTTGATAAAAAAATTATAAAAAACTAGACAACTGAATATCAACAGAATTTTTTTCAAAATGAAAACTAACGCAATTTAAAACCGTCTAAAGAAGCATGTGAGTAATTAGAACAACTTACTCCTAAGTCATAATGATAATATACCCTTCACAGGAAATAAAAATATACTAGGCAGAGTATTACCTATCAAACGAACTTTTTGACCTGTTCTATCAAATCTTTTTTTTCAAATGTTCAGAGCACAACCTACAGACGTTTCTTGTGTACCACTTGTATGTACAAATATTTATAACCCAACAATTCGGGTTGTCTTTATCGAAAGCTGTATGAATTTTCAAATGCATGAAATCGATTTATTTGACAACTACATATCATAAACTAAAACTAATAGAAAGCTCCGGGCTTAAAGAAAAGTTAATACGTGCTCCATGTAAGTAACGTTACTAGTGTTAGGCCTTAATTAACAATGAGATATACTGATACTGGCAAATCAATTTATATTAATTTATCAATAGGGTAAAAATAACTTGAGAAACGACAGAAGAGCAGCTTTAATTTTGTTGTCTAAATTCTATGCAACATACATTGACATTTTAGTCTTAGATACAGGCTACAACCTGACAAATTACAGACAACACTAAGTCTTAGCCATGAAAGTACGAGAAGTGACCAACAAGATGGCCACAATATAACTTCCGATGAATTCTTGTGAAAGAGATAATGCTTATTGTAGTTCAGAATAAAGATCAATACTGTGGACATTGTAGGGTTGGTGGAAATTTCGTTTACATGTGGCGGTAGTGTACTTTTAAACTATTTCAATACCAGAGATTAAAATTTCTATTTTTTTTCTACTCTTTTCTAAAGAAATGTAATTTTATGGAAAATATCAAACCATAATTAGTGGCACGTGTTATTTGCTTTTTTACCATCAGTGGTCTTAATTCTATGAATATATAAACTTCACTGGTATGTCGGTGAGAGTCATTAAGAAACGTAATTCGTTGTCATACGAAAATATACGTTTTATATCTTGACCTAGCCGATCAAAAGTACGCTTCTTCGTAAAATGAATAAACGTTATGATATTATTAATTAATTGTTAATAAAATACACATTCCACTAATTTCAAATGTATATTACTATTATTAACTATATTAAGTAAAGAAATGGACGTTATTCACTTAAAGATAACTTTGATTCAAAATAATTAGCACAAACTAAAGTCTCAAAAATCATCACTTTAAAGGACATTCCTCTTATCATCACTTTAAAGGACATTCCTCTTATCATCACTTTAAAGGACATACCAGTTATCACCACTTTAAAGGACATTCCCCTTATCATCATTTTAAAGGATATTCCTCTTATCATCACTTTAGTTCACTTAAGAAAATGTTCTTAACTAATATTCAACTCAGCATAAAAACCATGAACAGTTCAAGAGATAGAAATGATTTGTTCCAAGGCATTTGTTTATGGTTATCTGCAATGTTTCTATCAGTCCCATGACAAGAAAATGTTTGTAGTTTCTCGACATGATTTGAAGAACTTCTTCGTTGCTTTACCTAATATTGTTTGCAAAATGGGGAATCTGACTAAAGAAAAGTTGAAAGTTGGGCTATGAAATATTTATTGCATTGTTTAATTCAGCAAACTCAAACATTTGACTACTTATTTTGCTACCTTACATTTGTAACGGACAACATACAGCTTGTACGAACATAAAGCATCTTCTATAGTGTATAAATTGTAAAACATATAAAGATTTCATCTTTATATAAATGTATATTTAAAGGACATTCCTCTTATCATCACTTTAAAGGACATACCTGTTATCATCACTTTAAAGGACATTCCTCTTATCATCACTTTAAGGGACATTCCTCTTATCATCACTTTAAAGGACATTCCTTTTTCATCATTTTAAAGGATATTCCTCTCAAAATATTATTCAAATATCGTTAATTTTAAATAAGATTCTGGAAAATACTTTTTAAAACTATTTGAGTAATGAGATCACGAGAAATGCCATTTTGGAGAAACTAAATCTATATATTGTTTTCTAACTGGTTATTTAAATGCGAGGACAAGAAATGGAAGATCCTGCAAGACAAGAAATAAGACCAGAGTCACTATAACACTAACCCCTAAAATAAATCTCATGATTGAACAGGCTATTAAGGTTGGTAAATGCTAACATATATTAACACAACATAAGTCATTTTTATTTTATCTGCTATGAAGTATTATATTGTCTCTTTCCTTACATATCGTTATTCATAATTATTGAAACATTTTGAAATGTGATTATTTTAATGTATAGATAATATACATCTGTCAGTAAATGGCTGACGCTATAAAGGAGAAGTTGAACAGATTAACAATTCATTGTTATTAAAATGGTTTCTCATTACATTCTTGTTGATCAAAATTGGTGAATTGATGAGCTATTTTATAAAATAGTTTCTTTTTTATCAAACGAAATGAAAACAATTAAAAATGTATGATAGGATTATTCTCATGACACAGAAGAAGTGTTACTTATAATACTGTTGGATTTCGTTGGGATCAACCATTTATATGGTTTCAAATTGTTGTTTTAATATAATAGAGCTTTATAATATCATAAAATGTTTGGAACGTTTTATTATTTATTTGATGAAGATGTTAATCAACCAATCTTCATTTGGTTATTATTTTAAAATATATTTTCCGCATTGTCTGCAAGAAAATGTCAGTTAATTATGAAAGTGTCCCTTGCTTTAAGTTTGTAACATTATATTTAATAAGTACTGAGTCTCTAATTCACGTAATGACTCTAACCATATTTATTGTAAGGCAAAAGCAAATGTATATATATATATATATATATATATATATAT